CCATGTTGGAATTTATGCTTCACTTAAGCCATCTTGCCTCTTCCATTGTCTAACTTCCCTTTAAGTGCATTATCATAGAGTCATAGAGAGTTTTTATTTCATGAAAATGGGTCCTTCAGCCCATTATGCTCATACCAGTCATCAAACATCTATCTATTCCATCCAATTCCATTTTCCAGCACTTGGCCCATCACCTGGTATGCCATATCCACATCAGCTATAAACCTATGGTTGAATTTCTATATTCACATTACTCGATTCCCTATTTGACTCCTGGGTGATAATCGTCAAATAATGACATTAGTTCCACTTTTCAAGCAGAAATGCCCTCTCTATGGCTGCACAGAGAAGTCTTTGCATGAATTTGAAGATCTCTGTTGGTACCCCCAATATTTCTCTTTGTGAAACAAAGACCTAGTCCATTCACATCCTTTCCTGATAAGCTGAACTTCAGATTTAATAACATTCTTTTCAATCTTTCTTGCACCCTCTGTTGTGTCTCTGAAACCTTTGTATATTGTGGCAACCAGAACTGACCAAGGTTTAATGCAGGTTTAGATAACTTTTCAATTCTATCCTTCTAGAAATTGAGAGTGGTTTTGCTTGCTTTTGTTATGGTCCTATTGAGCCTCATTGCAACTTGCAATGATTTCTGTATTTGTGCTTTTTAATCCAGAAGCTTTGCTACCATACTTGAATTCTTAATATCCAATTAATCCTCCTGATTTTTATAAAAATACAATACCTCATTATTTATGTTAAAATTAATTTGTCAATTATACAGCCATTCTGCACATTTATAAATGTCACCCTGCAACTTTGCCACTCTGCTCAGTGTAGTGAAGAGCAATGTCATATTAATGGACTACAGAGGTTGAGTGTAAAACAAGCTAGCTCTGTCATAGAAACGTAGGACTTAGGAGCCAAAGTAGGCAATTTGGCTGCTCAGACCTGCCGTCCCATTGAATAAAATCACACCGATCTGGTTATCATCTCAACTCCACTTTCCAGCCTGCATTTTATAACCCTAAACTTGCTTGTCAATCAAAAATCTAACTCTGGCTGGGATAAATTCAATGACAAAGCCTCTACTGACCTCTGGAAATGACATACAAAGTAATGATACTCTAAGGTGGGGAGCACACATCTCAATTTAACACTGATATTTTTGAACTCTGTTCCAAGTTTAGTCTATCCTGCAGTAAGTAGTACCCTCCCGGTATCCACACTGTCATGTCCCCTCAAGATCGCATATATTTCAAAAACCAGCCAAAGAGACCAGAAAACTACAGATGCTGGAAATCAGAAACAAAATCAAATTACTGGAAAAACTCAGGTATGGCAGCATCTGTGCAGCAAAAGCAGAGTTAATGTTTCGGCTCCAGTGATCTGTTCCAAAAAAAAGTCACCAAACTCAAAACATTAACTGATTTCTCTCCATTGATGCTACTAGACCTGCCTAACTTCTCCTGTAATTTCTGATTTTGGTATGTATTTCAATTCTAGATTCACTGTAAACAGTATAGGCCCAACTTGTTCAACCGTTTCTTCAATAGTTTTAAAGAGCAAGTTCAACAAAGTAAGCTCCAATTTTGCTGTTTTAGGCATTCTGATGTCAAGATTCAGATGTTACCGGTTGCATCTAGTACTATTCTTTGGGCAACAATCTATCCTGAACCAAATCTGCATCCATAATATTGTTAAACCTATGCTAATATAATATGAAGTTTGTTTATAACATTGAATCAGCTGATTATTCTCAATACTTTTGCATTTAATTAAGACAGAGGAATTTGGCAGTTTATTTCAGCATCGTGTGCTCAACTCTTATCAAGGAAGTCATTCAATTTAAATACACACATTGTTCAATATATTTCAGAGAAATGGAAGTGAAAAAAAGCTGTTTTCCATCTCACCTACCATTTTCTGGTGACAGCTTGTCATATGCGTCTTCATAGATATAATTGCGTCGAATTGTCACATTAATTCCATCTAAAAATGGCCCCTCTCCTTGCACATCTTGTTTGTCAGCAAAGATCAATCTTTGAAAGATCTTAAAAAGAAATCACCATTAGTAAAGACAAATTGACAAAAACAAAATCTGCAAATTTGACACCAATATTGGCATGTTCATTTTTGAATTTATTGACTACAATTTACACGTAGCAAGTTATAACTAATCTATTTAGTTGGTCATCTAATTTCCTTACACAATGACATACACTACAACACACTCAGAATTGTACACTCCCTACGCAAGAAAAATTCACACGTGTGGCATTTCACTTTAATTGCTAAATTTTGATTTGATCATTTTTTAACAGAAATTTTAACATGTACTATTTATTTGTTTTAACAAAGCTTAAGCCAAATTATTTTCTCTGACAGATAAGCATCCTGCGCATTTAGAAACAGTAGGCTGTAAAATATTTTTAGGATCAAGTTCAGAGGAGAATAGTATTTACCTTAACTCGTTCTTCAAACGGAACTACAAAAGGTAGTTCTGTTAAAATGGCAAGATGACGTTCTTCAGATACTGATAACTGAGCTGGCTCCTGCCCAACTGAGAAAATATAACCGGGAAAAAAGAGAGAAGCAATAGCCAAAGTTTCATTAATAAATTCAAACATATCCAACATAGAAATCTGACAGACTGCTTGATAGGCAGAAATGTTCACTTGCTGCGAACATAATTACCCTAATACAAATGCACACCCTAGCTGTCTTGCACTTCAAACCAGAGAATTACAGAATCCCTACAGTGTCTAAACCGGCCATTTGGCCCAACAAGTCTACACATACTCTCCGAAGAACATCCCTCCTGGACTCACCACCCTACCCTATCCCGGTAACCCTGCATTTCCCATCTCTAATCCACCTAACCTACACATCCCTGGACACGGAGGGCAGTTTAGCACGGTCAATCCACCTAACTTGCACGTTTTTGGACCATGGGAGGATACTGGAGCACCAGGCAGAAACCCAAGCAGTCATGGGGAGAATGTGTAAACTCCACACAGATAGTCATCAGAGGCTGGAATTGAACCTGGGTCCCCGGTGCTATGAGGCAGCGGTGCCAACCACTGAGCTACTGTCTTCAAAAGTGCTTCATTGTTTGTACAAGTCTTTCGATATCCTGACATCGTGCAGAGCACTACGTGGATGCATGTCTGAGTTCATACCCTGTCATTTTTCTGAGACAACTAGGAATTTTCAACAACTACATACTATAAGAACACTGCATATACAAGCCTCCAAACAACTCAAAGGAAAATACTGCTGATACTGGAAGTCGGAAATTCAAACAAAGGGAAATATGCAGCAGATCAAGCATCATCTATGAGCATAAAGCAGAGTTTACACTTCAAGTCCATGGTTTTCATCAGATAATGTTGGTGCACTCAATAGGTAGCTGAGCTGGGTGCACAACACAGCTGGGCTGCATCTTTCCTATCTGCAGATAAGATTTGGACTAGACCAATTAAATCTAGTATTAACCCAATCTGAAATTAATAGGAATAAACAAAAATAAAAATCAAGCTGGCAAAAGTTTGAAATAAAGGTTGAGAAGGACAAAACAAGACTACGACCAAAGTAATAATTAAAAAGAGAAAACTCACAGGTGGTAAAAGCATTTTGCAACCAATAGAGTGCATTTGGAAATATCACTGTTGCAATGCAGGAATTGTAGCATGACCTTTGCACACAATGAAGAGAATAGTGAAAGTAAATGTTGACCCCTTAGAGGACAAAAATGGCGAGGTAATAATGGGAAACTCAAATTGCAGAATCATTAAACCAATATTTTGTCTCTGTTTTCACTGTGGAAGATAATTTCTTCCCAATCACTGCAGTGACTACAGAGGAAACTTGGTGAAGTCACTGTAACTAAGGAGAAGGTATTCAGTAAATTGATAGGATTAAAGGAAGGTAAATGCCCAGGGCCTGATGGCTTGCATCTAAAGTATTAAAGGAAATGACAGCAGAGATAGTGGATGCATTAGTTAAGATATTTCAAAATTGTCTAGATTCTGGAATGGTACCAGTGGATTGGAAACATGCTAACATGACACATTTATTCAAAAATGAAGATAGGCAGAAAGTGGGAAATGACAGACCAGTTAGTTTGAACTCTGTAGGGGGAAATTTGCTGGAATCAGTAAAGGAGGAGATAATGGAACACTTGGAAAATCAAACTCAATTCACCATAGAGTCATAGATTTGTACAGCATGGAAACAGACCCTCCGGTCCAACTCATCCATGCCAGCCAGATATCCTAAATTAATCTAGTCTCATTTGCCAGCATTTGGCCCATATCCCTCTAAATCCTTCCTTTTGATGTATCCATCCAGATGCCTTTTAAATGTTGTAACTGTACCAGCCTCCACCATTTCCTCTGGCAGCTCGTTCCATACACAACACCTTCTGTGTGAAAAAGTTGCCTCTTTAGGTCCTTTTTGAATCTTTCCTCTCTCACCTTAAACCTATGCCAGTGTCAGCATTGGGGAAACGATGGCCTAGTGGTATTATAGCTGGACTGTTAAATCCAGCGACACAGATAATATTCTGGGGGCCCGGGTTCAAATCCCGCCATGGCAGATGGTGGAATTTGAATTCAATAAAATATCTGGAATTAACAGTCTAATGATGACATTGTTAATTGTTGGAAAAACCCATCTGGTTTATTAATGTCCTTTAGGGAAGGAAACTGCCATCCTTACCTGGTCTGGCCGACATGTGACTCCAGACCCACAGCAACGTGGTTGACTTAACTCCCCTCTGGGCAATTAGGGATGGGCAATAAATGCCGCCTAGCCAGCGACACCCTCATCCCGTGAATGAATAAAGAAGAAAAAAAAAAGCATGGCTTCGGAGGGGCAAGTAGTGCTTGACAAACTTGGACTTCTTTGAGGATGTAACTAACAAGATGGATAATGGGGATCCAGTGGATGTGGTATATGTAGACTGCCAGAAAACATCTGACAAGGTGCCACATAAAAGACTGATCCAGAAAATTAGATTGCAGGGGGTTTATGGTAGAATATTAGCTTGGATAGAGGATTAGGTGACTGATAAAAGCACAGGGTCAGGATAAATGGGTCCTTCTCTGGAAGGTAAACTACAACTAGTGGGATGCCACAGGGTTCAGTTCTCAAACCTCGACTATTTACAATCTATATTCAGGTATTTCTGCTATAATACTTGTTTCATTAACGCGAATTGGCTGTAACACATTTGATAAATAGTGGACGCTGTTTGGATAACGCAAACCTTCCGCTATACAGGTATAGCGATTTTCTATAGCACGAGGTCACACAAGAACACAACAATCACGTTATAGAAGAACTGCCTGTAAAAATGTTCTGTAAGCAAGGACATCGTGTAACATAGCAAAATTTGCAGATGATATTAAAATAGATGGAAAAACAGGCTGTGATGAGTAGATAAGAGTTTACAGGCGGATATTGATAGGCTAAGAGAATGAGCCAGAATATGGCAGATGGAGTTTAATGTGGATAAATGTGAAGTTGTCCATTTTAGTTGGAAAAATAAAAGGGTAAGTTATTATTTAAACGGGAAGCAGATTCAAAGTGCATCAGTGCAGAGGGTTTGGTTGGTCTTTGTGCATGCATCACAGAAAAGATGCATGCAGGTAGTGCATATAATAAGCTAAATGGAATCATGACATTTATTACAAAAGGATTGGATTATTAAAGAAAAGAAGTGTTGTTACAACCATATAAGGCAACAGTGAAACCACACCTGGAGTACTGCGTCCAATTTTGGTATCCTTACTTGAGGAAGGATGTGGTGGCACTGGAGGCAGTTCCGAGGAGGTTCATTAGATTGATTCAAGGGATGAAAGGGCTGTCGTACGAAGAGTAGTTGAATAGCTAGTGCTTGTACTCGCTGGAGTTCAAAAAAATGAGGGGGGTGGGGCGGAATCTGATGGAGGTATATAAAATTCTAAAGGGGATTGATAAGGTGGATGTTGAACAGATGTTCCCCATTGTGGGAACATCTTAAACAAGAGTTCATAGATAAAGAGCAAGGGGAGGTAGGTTCGAAATGGAGATGAAAGAAACTACTTGTCAGAGGATTGTGAATCTGTGGATCTCATTGCGCCAGAGTGCAATGGAGGCAGAATCAATCAAGAGATTCAAGAAAGAAATAGATATGTTTCTGATGAAAAGTGGGATGAAGGACTATAGGGAGCAGGCAGGAAAGTGGAGTTGAGACCAGGATGAGATCAGCCATGATCATGTTAAATGGAGGAAGGGGCTCAAAGGGCTGAATTGCCTATTCCTGCTCTGAATTCCTATGTTCCAAACAACATGATAATGAGGACATTATCTGTTTTTGCGTTGATGACTGCGGAATAAATATCAGCCAGGATACCAGAGTGAATTTTCCTGCTTTTTTCAAAAACATGCTGAGGTCTTTGTCAGTCTTCTTGGGTAGAGTCTTATCTCATTCGAGACAGTACTTCAGTTCTGCACAGGAATTTCAGCTTTGATTTTCATGCTCAAATCCAGGAGTGGGACTTGAATAGACAACTTCTTGGTTCAAAAGTGAATGCTACACGCAGAGTCGTAACTGATAGTTAAACAGGGCCAAGAGATGATTTTTAAAAAGGGATCAGAAGGGAACCAGATAAAAATCTTTGGGAGCACGTACTGAAACAAAAGAATAGATGCGCATCAGAAACATTTGAAACAGTGAACAATGCGTCCAGGAGGAATACAAGAAACAAGAACAAATTATTTAACGGTGAGAAATGACAAAATTGAAATTATCAAACAATTTCAGACAATCATATATATAACAAACACAAAGACCAAAACAACCATCAGGATGTGCATATGAAAATCGAATGTAATGTCAGCAAAACAGCAGAAATATCTAATAACTGAGAGACATTATCTGGCAGGGAGACTAACATGATGGGAACATCACTAAAGGAATAGGTGAGAAAATGAGACGAAGACATTGAGAATACTAGACGGTGGGATGAGAGTGTGATCATTTATAAAATCAAACAGAATAGCAGCAGCTTCAGGTAAGAAGGGATTGCATCCTGCTGCCTATGTCAGCCTTCATATATCAAAAACTTAGCAAGATGTAAGAAGCATTTTTGTATATAAAGAAATTATTCAAGAGGGAAGAGTGCTAGGACTGATGAAGAGCTAATGCTACTCTTGTATGTAAAATTGAGCTTCAAGCAAGTTTCTGAAACTAAATATTGGTGGCTTGAAAGATAATGGAACCCTTATCTCATAGAACAAGACCAGCATTTATTGCCTATCCCTAACTGTCCAAGCAAAGTCAAGAGTCAACCATTGCCCTGTAAAAGAACCTGAAACCTCATGAAGAGTCATCAGCACAGATTTCTAAAAGGAAAGCACATCCTCAAGGAAATCAATTGAATTTTTAAGTAACTGAAAAAGAATCGCAAAATCGCAGAACTATTACCACACACGAAGACATCATTCGGTCCATTATGCCTGTACGAGTTCTATTATCTGATGCCAATCTCAGCCTTTTCCTCATATCCCTGCACA